TGTCATTTGCAGTTTTGCTGAACTGTTGCTGGATTGCTGATTTGTCGCCATCGCTGCTGTTTTAGATTTTGAGACGGCTCGCCTCTCATATATAGGCACTCTTGCAGCATGGCTAAAGCTGTTGAGAGGCTTACAGACATGCTTGGTTTCCTCACCACGTTGAGAGGCCTTAAGTCTGATGCAGACTCCATTGACACCCAAAAGAGGCTGCTCAATGCTTGTTTGGTGGATGTACGGCAAAGTCCAGGTTTTTCAGCCAGTGATGGCAAGAAGATGTTGGAGGAGGTTCGATCTGCGACGATTCCTGATTGGATGAGAGATGAAATACTACAGTGCGTACAGGACATGGTTGTTTCAGGTGTTGGTGGAGAGAAAGAACGTAAGTGCAGAGTGCCTATGCAAAGGAACCTTCACCTGTACAATTACTTTACGCAGGATGAGTGGGACAGTTTGGGAAACAGCTGCAACACCCTCGACACCAAACTACAGGTGGTGAGTAAGCGGTGTGGTTTGATTGGCCTTACAGCTCCGGCGGAGACCACATACGTCCTTGCAGTGTCCATCATCATCATGGCTTGCCACAAGGGCCAGCCCGAAGATTTGGTCATCGATGCTCAGAAAACATTTGGGATGCTCAAAGATTTGAAGGTGGTGCTTAAGAATGTGTGCAAAAGAACTACACACAGTGGGTTACAAGTCTATCCAGAATCCCCCAGGGACCTGAGCGAGGAGTTGCTGAAAGCAGCATACCAAACAGCAAAACCTGCAAAATGTCTGTTGGATATTCTTGAATGGCTTAGCTACTGATTTGCCAGCGAGAAATACACACAGCAAAATTCGTTCCAAAGGCGCGCTGCGAACCTTCCAGAAAGATGAGAATGTGAAAGAATTTATGATGATGCAAATGTTTGAGCACATGATGTCGCGCCACAACAAAAGTCATGTGACACCACAGGTTGTGCAAATGCTGCCTTCCAAGAGGAAACCCCTCGCCTTGCAAGATCAACCTGCGGAAACTTCACCAGAGAAAGCTGAAGAGACTGCAGAAAAGGAAGAAGCAAAGGAAGAGGCACCAGCTGCCAAGAAAAACTGTTTGGGCGCAACGCCAGAAATGAAATGCATTGAGGACATGGCCGCGATGGTTGAAGAGCAGCTGAAAAAGAACAAGGTGCGCAACAAAAAAAAACAAGAGACTGAAGAAAATGAGGCTGAAAACCAGAAAGCAAAGCAGGTGAAAACCAAGAAGGGCACCAAAAAGGAGCTGTCCCAACTCCAGTTTTTGGGCACCAAAGCCAGAGCTCCAATTAAGCTGGAAAATGTGACCATTTACACGTGTCCAAACAGCTCGAGTTGGCGTGTGAAAAAGAACGACGAGAAGAAGGACAAGGCTTTCAGTTGGAAGGCCAATGACCCAGAGACCACCTGGGCTCGCGTGGTGGCACACGTGAAGAAGCTGGGGGTGAAGTAGGCAGAGGCTCGCCCTGCCGAACGCGTGTTTGGGGAATGCGACGCGCTGTGCGGCAAAAAACGGTGCTGGGGAACTGCGCGCGTGCGTGCGTGCGTGCGTGCGTGCGTGCGTTGGGGTGGGCAACGTGGGGAACTTATAAGTTAGTTACGGGCAACGTAAATTTCACGAAGATTTGGAACTTACATATAGTTATAACTTATAGTTATAAGTTGCTAAAAGCAAAAACCGCTATAGTAGCCTTGGTTCCAGGCTTCCTGCTCCAGATCCTCTTCATCAGCTTCATCCCAGTCATCGTCTTCATACAGGGTTTCTTCTGCTTCGTCCTCTTCTGGGATACCTTCTTCATCATCACCCCAATCTGGCTCTTCCTTCACCTCAGCCAGATGTGCACGGGATGAGCGGCGCTGATGATAGCGGGAAGACCTTGAAGCCGAGGAGTGCTTCCACTTGCGGGGCTGCCTGTCATGGGCCTTGTACTTGCCTTCCTCCGCATGGATGTTGGCACATCTGAAGCGAAGCACCTTCTCGATGGCTGTGGACACGTACTTGCCTCCAGCGCTGTAGAAGATGTCCATCCTCTCCTTCTTCGTGAGCGATGCCCGACTGAGCATTCTCTGGCGGCGGGCCCTGGCAACTGAGGTAGATGAGCATGGCCAATTCGGCATCGTCCAACCTGTAGAGCGCCTGTTGCGCTTCAATCGCGCGCTTCCATTCCTTGTAGTGTGTCCTGGAGCCCTTGAACATCTCCAGCCTGACCTGGCTCAAGGATGGCTTGGATCTGTCCTGCTGCTTTCGGGCCTGATGGGCCAGCATAGCCCGCAGTTCACTGGTGCCAGCAGTCGAGGCATTCGAGCTGGTCCTGTTGGAGCTCGCGGGAGAGGAGGCCCGGTTGGATGAGGTCCGATTGGATGACACTCTGCCTGTCGAAGGACCCGACGGACCAGAAGATGGGGGATCTGGCGGTCGCGGCCGCGGAGTCGAGGCCCCCTGCTGTCATCGGTGTACACGGAAGGCTCCACGGAGGATCTGCTTCAAACTGCTCCTCCTCTTCACTTTCTTCGCCTTCCTCGTAGGAGTACTCCGAGAAGTACTCATAGCCATCACCTCCACCATCTCCATCATCATCATCATCGTCATCATCGTCATCGTCCGGTGGGTCCGGACCTGGTGGAGCAGGCTTTGACTTCTTGGCCGCCGGCTTTGGAATCTCCTTCTTCTCCTTGCCACTCGGCCTGGCCTCCTCATCTCTTTCCTTTTTCTCCTTCTTCTCTTTCTTCTCATCACGCCCCGGCGAAGACTTGGTTCTCGCCTCCTTGGACTCCTTGCGGTCCTTCTTCTCCCTGTGCTCCTTCTTGTCCTTCTTGTCTGCCGAACGGTCCTTCTCCTTCTTGACCTTCTTGTCCTTCTTCGTGTCCGCAGACTTCTCCTTCCGCTCCTTGGTGTTCTGGGGCGGCTGAGGCGAACGGTCTTTCTTCGCCTTCTTTTCCTTCTTCACTTTCCGGGTAGGTTCATCCGGATGCCCCAGGGTGGATGCTCGCGGGGACTGGGAGGCCCTTTGAGCTCCTTTGGATTGGCCTTTGGCTTGTCCATCTTCACGGCGTGGTAGATACCAGGAACCATCCGTGGAGGCTGATGGTTCATACGACAGCCATTGAAAGCCAGTCCAAAACATCCATACCCCTGTTGTCGGGGACCGGTACCAGCCTGGCACCTGCTGCGACCATCCTGCACGGAAAGTCTGCTCGGCAGTGTGGGTGTCGTGGCCAGCAGTGTCACTTCTGCCCTTTCCTGGATTGGCGCGTCCACGACCTCGGCCACGTGCTCGTTGTCGTGACCGTCCTCGGGCATCTTGTTCTTCTGTGGCTCTGGACTCCGTCCCTTCCCATGTGGGTACCGGAATGGCCTCAGGCGCCAAGTCGGCCATCCGGTCCTACAGGCCCAGGTGTCAGGGCCGCCCTCTCTTTCGAGGGCTCCGCTACCAATGCGGAGTTAGATGGGCTCAAAACGAAAAGTGGCGGCAGCCAGCAGCAAATCTTTTGCTGAGCTGTGCTTGATCAAGCTGCAGATTGCAGCATCGTGCAAACAACACACCACCGCACACCACCTTACGCCAATCTTCACACAAGCATCATTCTGCATGTGCGCCCTTGTCCAGCTACTCTGTCCATACATGTGCCCTGCCTTCTTTCATCGCCTTTCGGGGTGGGGATCGCTCGACATAGTGTATTTTGTTTTGTGGTTTTTGGTGTCTGCTTTACCAGGGCCGGCACACATTGTATTTCCCACAGCCGGTGCATCGGAAAATGCAGGCACACGTATGGAAATTTTGATTGCATTTTGCAATCCCTTCGAGTTCATTGCGGCCCCTTGCAGTTTTGCATTCTTCCTAATTCTTGATTCCTTAGAACAATCATTTTGATTCCTACTGATTGCCTATTAAGTACCTATATAACTATTTATATTGGTTTCCGTTTAAACGCCTTTGGAAATCCTCTTGATTCTTGTTGATTCCATTTAATATAATTTTCCTTTCTATGGGTTACCTCTTAAGTTCTTGACATTTGTTTTTTTACATCTTAACTTAGTCTTAGTATATACATCTTATCAAAATATTGCAAAACTCAATTCCCTAAGGGGGTAGCTCAGTACACTCGCAATGTTGAATAATAAAACCTCCTACAATGATGTATGCTTCTTTTTGCTTTAGTAGAACCACTCCCTGGACTATTGCTGACGCTTCTACATATTGAAATTATGACACCCTCAAATATTGTCTGCACTTTTGCTCGTATGCTTTTAATGATAAGATCCCCGGCAGTAATGTCTGCACTTTGCATTTTTCACTTTCTATTCTTGAATTGCCTTCTAACTATTGATTTCCAACGAGAGGAAGGGCTGAAAAGCAAAAGAAAATTTCTTGTTCCACAACAGGTGCTGTAGAAACAGGGCTTCACAGCCGCCCTTTTTCCATAGCTGTTTCTCGTATCATTGGACTTTACACTTTGCAAGTTGCTCTCTGTCACCTTTTGAAGATCCACATGTCGAAAGTAAAGATACTTGCCACCCGCAATTCTATAGCATGGGATACATCAGACTCTGTGAGCCGGTATGGGTTGACATATGCGCACATGGAGACTGCTAGCAGAGCTGCATGAATCTAATGAATGTACTTTGTTACCTCATGAAAGCTGCAAATATGCGGACTGATATGAAGACAACCTCATAGCACATGAGGTATGGCGGATGAAAGAGTAAAGTCAATGAGATAAAAGAGCTGAAAAGCAGGAAAAGACAGATCATGGGGTGGGGGGTGAGCATATGTATTTATATCTATATATACAAACACATATGAATGTAATTATATATATATACATAGCTGCCAACTCAACATTTGGCACCATTCAAAGCCAGATTTCGGGATGCACACTTTTTACAGTTTACACTACATCTTAGTTGCTTATCCGTTGAACAGAGTGAGTGCAAAATTGACAACCTGGCCTTTCTTCACAAACTCTACCCTGGAATCGCTGTCCTGCGGGGCAGTCCGATCTGTGAGAATCGCGGTGGAGCTGCTCAAGAGACCGGCCTGGCGGAAAAATCTGGTTCGCTGGACATCGCTTTTTCGCAGCTCCTATAGGTGCTGATTTGTCGGAAAAAAATGCAGTTGAGCTGACCGTGATGGCGTCAGGATCGACGCGAAAGTAGCAATATGTTGAGTCGCAAGTTTCTGCCCCGACCATGTTCGCTTCTCCCGATGGGCACCAAAGTGCCGCGATGCTTGGTGAAGCCGACGGCTTGCAATAAAATGAGGAAGAGTCAAGTTCGACATGTGTGCCCATTTTACGAGGCGACTGATGACCAGCTGCAACAGCTTTTAGGTTGGCCCTTTTATGACAAGATGGTGCTCAAGCGTTTGGCCCATGTCTTGGGTCAGGAGTTCCGGTGAATCGGCATTTTGTCTGTGGTGCGCTGAATTTGCTTTGGCTATATTATCATATGTTGTCTTCATTTAGAGGTGAAGTTAGGAGCGTGTGCATCAAACTCATGTAACTGTATATAGCAGCTATAGCAGGCTTTCTATGTCTGAAAAACTGATGAGCCTCATAAGAGAATTATTCTCATGGTGGGCCTCTTTTCGTTTCACAGAGCCCACCAATGGTGGGCTCTGTGAAACGAACAGATTTGGAAAATGCAAGTAAAAGCAAGTCACTGAGTTACAATACAATATGTCAGTCAGGGATAATCAGTGAGGGTGTCTTTTGCAGGCTGTTTTAGGGGTTTTGGCTGCCCGTTCGAAAGCCTCAGGGGACAGCTCAGCTTTCTAGTTCAGCCGTGGTCTACTTTGCAACTAACTAGCGTCTTCCTCGGTCAAGGGTGAGGGTGTCCATACTCTTTTTCGACAAAAAGAGACTATTGACTATTGTTTCTCTCATGTTCACATCTGCTTCTTTTTTGCATTGCACAGGCCGAAGCGGAGTGCAGAATCCAGTGGTTAGGTATCTGCTTTGCAGAATGAGTTGAAACTTACAAGCCTTGCGGCTCCATTGTTGCCCATCTGAATGATTGGGAAGGTGAGACAATTAAAGTAACAAGAAGGGTGGAGGAAGAGGAACACAAAAAAGGAGCACAAGGAGAGGACATCTAGCACTTTGACTACGGCCGGGCCGGGAATGTGCCTGCTTTCGGTGACGAAGCTTTCGGTGACAAAGTGGGCGACAAAGGGTCAGAAAAAATTGCCGCGCCTTTGCCATTGTTGGGTCAAGTTGTTGACTAGATTTCTTTGATGACAGTTGTAAGGATTCTCCGATATCCTTTGATCTGCATGCGTCTAATCTAATCGTTGAAATTTTGACATCTGCTTCATGTCCGGAATTGACAACACTCACTGCGCCTCCAAAGTTGCCCGTTCCTGTGCAGCAGCCAATTCCAGCTGGGTGTCCTTCCCACCGTGAGGTCAAAAGGAGCACTGCAGTTTTGAATGCAACACAGTTTTGAATGTCGCAGTCAACAGCTTCATGAAACATTTTCAGACATGAAAAGCAACTCGGCCATTGAATCAAGATGCTGCTGCTGCTTCCAAAAAAGTGAACTCTTTGGGGCTGTCCTCTATCTTAACCAGTACAAGTTTAATGCCGTACACTGTGGAAAGTTGTGCCTCTTGACTTGCCTTTTGCCCTTTTAAACGACAAGTTTCCTGCGTACCACATCTTGCGGTCGGATTTCCGCACCGCCTGAAAGCCTTGCAAGTATTGGAATATATTGGAATTATAAATGAGCTTCATGAGTGTATCTAAATGGGTGTGGAAATCTGGCGGTGCTGCAAAACACACACACACAAGAACAGACTGTAACAGACTTTCAATCCGATGACCGCACCGATTATGTAAAAACATATCAAGGGGCATTGACTTTATCCGTTCTGACATGTCCTGCAAGATCCTGAAAGTATATATAGTGCATCTTTTTTTGTCATGTGTGCTTTCCTGTACTTTTAAGCTGCATTCACTCCAAATCACGTCAGTGATACTGCAAGAATAGTCAACCGTTTGCTTGGTTCCAGGACCGTATCGGAACGTATCGGTCTTAGAAGGCTAGGCACCGCTACCACCTCAAAACAGGTAAGCCTTTGTGTCCACCTCTGTCTTCCCAGTACAGTTGAGGGATATTCAATGCACCACCCCACCCCTCAAACAGGACGCTCGAGAGGCTGGCTAATATGATTATTTAATTATATACCCTTGTGCTATGGGGACAAGGACAAAAATCACATATATAAATCCTACAATATCCCACAATTCTGTAACACATTGAACCCCTTATCAACTCTGAGCCCACCTGATTCAACCCACCACGCCGGAATCAAGCTGCGCAATATCTCTCCTCAATGGCGCCCTTCATTATCTGCCTTTTTTCGGCCAAGTCCTTCCAAGGGAGCGCAGCCAACTGATGCCACCATCTGTTGGAATTATGCTGAACACATGTCATGACAATGATGTACCACAACGTACAAGCTCTGTGGATCCAAATCAAATCGGTTGTTCCCTCGAACCGAAGCAGCTGAAACCCAAGGGAATGTTGTGTCGCGTCGAACGCCGACTGGTGGTGTTCCTGCTCGTATCTCTCAATTGCATCATCCAACTGTTGCCGCTGCTCCACGGACTTCTGCAGTGCCTGACAGTATTCCAGCCCGGCCCTTCTTGTAACTACATATTCAAAGGCACTCTTGCCAGCGCAGGCAATCATACCAGGCCTACAATCACCACGGCCACTGGCACTTCACCATTGACTATTTTCAATCAGCTTCCACACCAATCAGGCCTTGACTTGGTCATGGCCCAACTGCACTATGTCTGCTAGCAGCAAGGGAAGTACGTGCATCAAAGCAAGTTTCACTAAAACTTTAGGATACTTTGGGAACCATGTGAATAGTGTGAGCGTGAGCTTTCCATCGGAGCCTCGTACCTGCCTAAGCTTAGTAGGAGGAACCTACGAACGTGAGGTTCAATCTTGTGTATTTTGCCTACGCTACCACTGGGGAATTGGTTTTGAACTTTTAGGATTTGGGCAAGCAAACAAGCAAACAGCATGATAGCAAACTGTTCAATGCCTACGCCAACCTTTAATCAGCCACCAATGATGTCAGTGCTTATATACAGTAAGCCCTTTCATCTCAAAAAAATATCAGCTCATATAAGTCATTCTGTGACTATAGAATATACAAGAGCCGTGGAATTCAGTACCGCACTACTACACCGCTCTTTAGAAGCCCTATCTCGCCTAGTAAACCCAATGCTGTCACGCTTACATGACCTCGTTTGCCCTAAATTCGTTAGCAAAAGACAAACAACGTCAAGTAGCAGTTTGCCGTTCTTACTGGAGGCCCCATCTTTTTGAATCGGATGAATCTAGTTCCCAAGCTACTTCAAATGTAATGGCATTGAACCCCCCAGAAACCGGACATGTGCCTAGAGGAGCTTCCCATTTCTTTGCCAACTGACTAAATTTGGAGGCTGTTGTAGAGAAAATTTCCAGAAAACTACGAGGTGAGTGAATTGTCCAGACTGTCAGAATCCATCAGTTCAATAAAGGAAAGCATCATCACTTTCCTTGCCCTTGTGAATGACTGTGACAGGCAAAAAACGATGTTGGAAAGAAAGCTAGAAAGCTTTGCTTGCCGCACAAATAGTCTGAGTTGAGCCGAAGCCAACTCTTTTCCTCTACTAGACGGTACAACAGGCATTGGCCAAACAGTGGCGTCATCAAGCTCAAAACGATAACGGAACTCCAAACGAGCAAGTCCTTGGACACTGTTCACATATCGGACTCATCTCCCAAAGCGCAATAGGCCCAGGAACATATCACATATTGCACGTGCAAGCAATAAAGTGAAGTTACCTATATACAGCGTCCCACAGGTGAATACACTGAAGCCAACTGCAATAATTAAACAATTAGTTTAGGGCAAAGCCGCCAAAGTAGTTTCTTCCCTCAAATGATCCTCTTCAAGAGATGCTAGAACATGTTGATAGCTTGTAAGAGGCTTAGCATCCTATCCAAGTCTATGTTGAATGATGTTGATTCCGATAAGTGTTATAGTCATAGTCTTTCCAGCATCCTGGAGCTGCCAACACCATTTCCAGCAATTGTCGAGTGGCAAGCGCTTAAAGCAAGCAAGTGGCATTCCTGTTCAGGAAAACCTATCTGCCACAGAAATCCCCTTTCGCAGTAGGAATTGGAAGGCTACATGAAGCCAACCACTGTTGCGCAACGACCAACTCTTACCTTGCAATTATAGTCTAGTATCTTACAGACTGACGTGGGAAAGCTGATCGCGCCAGGCCATTGCCACAGAAGCGCTGCTCGGCAATTCAAAAAAGGTACTCGAGAGCACTTGAGCCATCTACGGCAAATGCACGTCTACGCTTTCAGTGAGAGGAGCACTTGCTGTGTCGAGTTTTCATTATGTGTCAAGGCCCAAACATAGAATTTAAGAATATGTTTAAACAATCAGGTAGCGGACCCATGAGGAAACAATTAAGACATGGAAGAGGCTTGCCTAATGACTAGTTTGCCTTGAGTTCCACGCCCACTCGGCGGATCTCAGTCAACATCCTTGGTCATCAACCATCAACAGCATGTTTACAGCGTATGATCCTGGTGAATCTGCATGAACAAACAGTCTGGTTGCAAAACGTTCCATCCACCCTTGATTGGAGGTCCAAAGCCAACATCCATCCAGCACTTCAAGGCCAAAACATTTCCCCAAAATGCATTTCACCACTCAGGACCGCGAAGCCCTCTCTCTGTAAAGATGGGAATCACAAGACTTTAAAGGGCTGTCCACTTTCCAAAATGGTCATAGTGTCATCCAAGGATCAAGATCGCCTCCGCTTTCATTCATCAGGGCCGCGACTCCCTTGTCGTTCAATTGCATCTCACCCTTCCTGTCATAATTGAACCTGAGAGAAACTAGTGACAAGGACGCCATTAGTAACAAGTGCATCGCTTCTAGTAACAAGTGCCTTACTAGTAGTAACAAGAAGCTATTAGTAACAAGTGCCACACCACTAGTAACAGGTGCCTTACTAGTAGTAACAAGAACGCTACTAGGGGCTCCTGGCATCGAAAAGAACACGCACGGTTCCTTCCTCGTTCATTTGCGGGGATCACCATGGACTGTCAACTGTGAGCAGCCCCATATTTGCCAAACATTTTACTCTCAGTGCAACAAGAAAAATGCAAGGCATGTCAAGGTTACGGCACAAATTTACTGATTTTTTATGACTCAAACATGCGGATAAAACACAAGGAAAGGACAAGCCTATTGGGCAGTTTCAGAAAAGCACTGGTCCTCACTTCAGTGAGGAGATACAAGGAGTGCAATCAGATTCTTGCAGATTGTTCTCCAAGCACTTCCACAGCTGAGCTCGTCACAGGCTGGGGTGCTTTCCTTGGCTTCCGAATGCTCCAACTTTTTGGTGCAATGTGCCGGGTCATCTCATCAGCAAATCCATCTTGAGGGAATGGAAGATTTCCAGCAAACCAACAGTCAAAGCACCTGGATGGCCAAGCAGCGCATCTTCTCGTGATAATAACATGAACTGGCAGTCAGTCCCCATCAAAACCGCGCGTGCAATTGCATGAAAATCGTGATTGAAGTATACACAAGTTAAATATATATATACTTATATACCTGATAAATCTTATTTGAGGGGTCATTGAGTTATCTGTCATAATACGGTTGTCTGCAAGCAAGCTGGTAGTCTCTGACTCCGATTTGGCTCCTGCACTTCAATTTTTTTGCCAACATTCAAGCGAGCTCTTGCAAGAAAGAAGCCGTAGACTTTGGAGTACGGCGTGATGACATGAACCTCGAAAGGAATGGCCAAATCCGGGTTGAGTATCACACAAAAGTATACAAAAGTAACAAAAGCGAACAATTTCACCTTTCATCCGAAGCCCAAAGGACTATGGCACAATTGAAAATAATTGTACAACTGTTGTATAAACAAGAATTAAGACAGGTTGGTGGAACTAGAACTTTGCATTTGTCTGTGCACTTGTTCCTGCGCAGTGGCAACCGAGAAGGCAAACAACCAATCTCATTGCCAAGTAGCAGTGTTCATGGGGGTTGGGCAGAACACCACGTGGCCAGAGTCACCTCAGTCCATCGAGGCCAATTTTATACAAACCTGTGACTATATCAGGGCATGCCGACCAAGCTGCGCGGTCCATTGTCCTCCTTTTCAAGCTCTGGCTGTAGCTGTGGGCCTGTCTGTGCAAGGAACTGGTGTCACGCTTTGTTTGCAATTACACCACTGCACGTCAATTTATGCAAGATGGATCGAAACCAAAGTCCGACATGTAGTGATGCCAAAAAGAGTTGCCAGCGGCTTGCAATGCGCTGACTTCTCACTGTATCGATCTTCCCGTGAAGAGTTGATCAAGGGTTCTGCCCTACAGACCTGCAGAAACATGCATCCTTACTGTAACTATTATCGTCATCAAACTTTCCAAAGCAAAGTTGTTCATCGTTTTACACCTGCCCCAAGAGAAGCAAAGTTTGAACTTTGAACTATATAAACAATACGGGCCTCTTGGAGGATCCAGCTGTGGCAAGTATGCCGGCTTTGGCGTCTTTGGCGGGCGGCAGCCAGCATTCAGAAAGGCCAAGGCATCTCGGGTCAAGTTTCTATAACTTGCAATTCACTGCACAGGAAAGAAACCCTAGAAATCGCAGTTTCTCACAACTTTGCATTGTGTCCTTTTTTCCAAAAGATCACGGGTTCAACAAAGGTGCCAACGTTGACACCACCAGACTTCCCGCTTGTTCTTTCAAATACACTCCAAGAATCTCCTATCATTGTTCTGCAATGCCTGCAACTGTAAAAAAGTATCCTGCAGTTATTCCACAATGTTCCAACTGCCTTACAAATACAATACATTCGAGGCAAATATAGCCGGCTCTTGGAACGAATGAAACTCCTCCCTGGCCATCTTGGCTTTGCACCTGCTGGCGTTCCCATCACGCAAAAGTCCTCCCTGAAGGAAAGGCCTTGGAAAACGAGACTTTGAGGAGATCAACCTACCTCGAAGCAAACCATGTCAAGCAGCTGAAAGCAATTGAATCTGGCGCTCTTGAAGAACAACGAGTCACGACTCAAATCCAAAGCCGCACCACTGGCTGGTCCGAGTCGCTAGAATTTCCCTTTGGCACCCGGCTCGGTAATGGAGTCAGCCTGCTAGTGATACTGACACCACCAGTGGCATGTAGTGGGTAGTCAGATGTAGTGAGATAAAGCACCTCTTTTTAGCTGGCAGATGGGCAGATGTTCCTTGAGTATGACCCACGAGCAATGAGTAGAGCAGAAAATTTTAATCATGGCCGAAACCACTACCGTTTATGAGAAGGCTCACAGCATTCATTTGTTTGATTGATGATGCTGCTGGGACTCATTTGTTTCACTACTGCCCGAATAAAAACCCAGATTAAACCAGTGTGGGACTCATACTTTGGGGAAGCTTGGTGGGTATCAAACACCTGCTCGAATCAACTCGAATCCTTAAAAGGGCCTTACCTTGGGATCAAAGGCGCCGCAGCAACAAAGGGTTTCCTGAGTTTTTCCATGTGCCTTTGTGATAAGTATGGGTAGAACTGATCTAGAAACCAATTAAATTGTCAGTGTCTGAGGACCTTCCACCCCTTGAACCTTCCACTTTTTTCCTCTACTTGCAGTGCCAGCCTGATCCAGCCTCTCTATCTGATGGGTGCATGTGAGGTGCATGGGCGGGGCCCTGGTAAATGGGGCAACAGGGGAAAACAGACAGACACACACAAACACGCGCGGCTAAAGCAGCAAGGCAGTGTCCGAAGGATTAATAGCAGTTAGGACATTCCCTCCGAGCTCTTGCCTGCCAGCACTGGAACATCTCTGTAGACCGCGGGCGGCGCTGCTTGGGGTCTGAAGCCTTGGCAACTGAAACGAACGAAACGAACACTTAATACATTAACCAATTTGCATCATGTACTTCAGCTTGGATGTTACCAGGCCTCTCTTGGATAGAGGAAAGGCTCAACAAGTCGCCAAGGTTTTGTCTGTGTCACTATATCCAGTGCTGGTGACCTGTGATTTTCATACAAAAGCAACCCTCCAGGTCGGAAATTGAAATGTCTAGTTATAGTTGTGTGCATTTTGGAACATGAGGAAGTCACCCAAACCACAAAAACCGTGTAAAATCCTACATGTTTTTGTCATTGTGTGTGATCAACGCACGGAGCCTGACTGTGATTCCAACAAAGCCCTGTGTCTTGCGGTAAAATTGACCAATGGTTCCTGACTTTGGTGTCTCGTTTCGTGACTCCCTTTTTGGGGAAGAGTGTAGAAGCTCATAGGACATGCAACAAAACACTCCCGCTCTTTTTGCGGCAGTCTTCACATGTCCTGAGACGGTTGTTTGGCGCCAAGTGCCATCAGGTTGTTTGAACCTGTGTGCATGAAGCGCCACTGCCACGACCGAATCCTTCGCTCTATGAGAAAAGATTTCGAAGAGAGCGACTTTGGTACATGTTCTTTCTGTCGCCACATCAACAACTCATCACCAGTGTTTTCCACACGAACGAAACCAGCCCCCCCTGAACCTCCCGTAGAATCTTCTGTCGTCACATCAACAACTCATCAACAACACGTCATCATCATAGTGTCTATATAACATTGACATCCATGGCCACCGGGTCGGAAAGTGCAACATATATCGATTGTAAACATTAGCACGAGTACACGTTCGGCTTCCGACCCGGTGGCAAAAACAAGCTGTGCTCCTTAGTCCTCTTGTCAAGTTCAGGCCTTCGCTTATATAATTATACATATCTTTTCTCCTCAACTACGAGTAAGTGCAAATTAAATACTATGTAACTATATAGCTATAGCTAGTTGTTTGCCCGTATAACAAGGTCATGCCGATTCTTACTTCTCACGTTAATTGCTGCACCACCATGCAATATGAACCTTAGCCTAACACCTCTCCAGTTTCTGAAGCACGAAGAAAAGTTTTTGCAAAGACCCAGCCTGTGACTGTTCGCAGCTCTTGTAGTTGATTGGACAGGCTGGAAAGAAAACACTTTTGTAAGAACACGAGCTATTGCACCTTACTATGTAACTTACGTCACAGTTGGTCACCATGATGTGGATATGGCCAAGTCACCGATAGCTCGTGAGCTCGGGCGTGCGTGCTGAGCTTCCGTCCCTTAGGAGATGGGGATCCCTGCCCCAAAGCATTTAGAAAAATAAATACGGTCTCCGCTCCGTAGCAGTACAATATACTCAGCAACACTGTATATTACTGAGTCTTGATTGTATTATAGAACTTTCGCCTGTGCCTATGTGTTTTGGATTGTGGAGTTTGGGCGTTTTCCTCACGAAGAAACGTCAGAGATCGTTGCCAATCAAAGCACGATGTGTCAAACATTGCCAGAGGCTGCTGAGTGCTTCTGGGAATACCAAAGAATCCTGTGGAGTTGGGTCACATCCTGTGCCAAGCCTAGCCAAGTGAACAAAGGCCAGCCTGTCTGGTAAATCTGCAGTGTCATTGAATCTTGCGCTTGTATGTACCTGCAATCCTGCAATCTGTTCAAGGGGCAGTTTTGACTGATCACTAAGGGCAAATTACTTGGATGGCAAGCAAAAAAGGCCAAGATGGTGACAGCTCCTGTACTGTCTGGTTGCTGATGCGCAAGCAACTCTTGGGTGGCCCTCGACTATGTAGCTCCAGAGTTCTGCCACCGCGTTATAATCTACGTGTGTATATTGGATGACTACGCCGCCCTCATCGGCTACCCGCGGGCAACCGGCGCAATTTAGGAATGCAATAGGACGGTTGGACGTATACACACTGAGGCTCTCTTGTCGACTCGTTTCGTGTGACCGCGGTCCCATGCGCCAACCCCTGATGCAGGTTGGCACAACGTGATCGTCATTCTCGCAATACTATAGTCCCTTTCACGCATAGCCACCACCCGCCATATCGGCGTAGTCTCCAGTGTGTGTACAGGATCCACCCGCCTGAAATTCTGGCCTTGTTTTGGATGGCTCAAGCGGTTCAGTCAAGCGATTTCTTTGCACGCGCGTGGCTTGGAAATAACTCTTTGCTGCTGCAGGTCACCAACGAACCAACTGCTAGATGATGTACTGTATCCTTTACCCGTTACCCTGAAGCAAACTGACAAGCCCCAACATTCCTGGTTTGTCCAAGTCCTTCGCTTGACAAATTCTGGACACACTGAAAGCGCACTACTGATTCACTCTGACTGACTTTACTGAACACTCACATACACAGGAGGGCGAGAGAGAGAGAGAGGGGGAGAGAGAGAGAGAGGGAGAGAGAGAGCAAACAAAAAAAACCAGACAAATAATACAGTAGGCTGTAAGGCTAGCGGCCAGTTGGAAAGTAGATTGGAGGGCATCAGGAGAGCTGATGAAATCATTGCGAATATGAAAAAAGATAGATTGCCCCAAACAAGATCAGGAACCTGCACTGAAAAAGTGTTTCTGTAGCAGGTACCAGTAGTATGTATGCATCATATCCCATTGTCATACCATCTGTGAACGAGTGGCCCGTCAAAGGAGATGAGCATGCGCGTGGGCGAAGACCCTGAGGAGGCCATGTCCTCCCCCAAGAGCGGCGAGGGCTTCGGCCGCATCCGCCTGTGAGGTTTCAGTTGATTCATGATGAGTCAAAGCTTGAAAGGAAGTTCTTTGGCAAAGCATGACAGAACTTTCCCAATTTCAGAATGGAGCAAGCCACAATGGAAAAGCATCTTGTGAACAGGTGCAGGCTCGTTTTCAGCGAAAACAGCTTAGGCCTATTTGGCCATCGGTCGATCGAAATGATCACCTGTGTTTGGTTGACTGTTCCTAAGTTGATGTACTTTCTGTCACTCCTCCTTCAGCCAAACACAAGTGACATAACCTGATCGGCTTGGCTCCAGCAAAATGCGAGCATGCCGACGTAAAGTGTAACAGTGTAACACCTTTCCTGCTGGCGTCATCCGAAGCTGATGGAATCTGTTTTCCAGCTTCACGCTGTACCTTTCAGCGATTTCTCCCTCACGTGAAAAATCAGCTACAGTACATTCTCTTTCATCTTCTTCAAATCTTGCTCGAGCTCCTCTATGTACAGGTCTTTCGAGAAGCAATCATTTTCGGCCTCTCGTAGGTCTTCCTCATATCGAGCCATGAAATGGTCGACCCACTGTGATGCCTGGGTCTCTCGATCCACCATTTCGACCTGCGCATTCATGTAGGTCTTCTTGATCTGAACCATGGCCTGTCCTTGTTCTTTCCGAACTTCTTCATGCCCTGCTTCAACTGGTACTCCTTCTCAATCTCGCGGAACTCTTCCTCACCCACGCTGTCACACACTGCGTCCACCATGTGGGTCATGTACTGCAAAACACGAGGCAGATTCTTGGCGCCGATGTCTGCGCTGTTTAGGTCTGTGGGGATAGGTGCCACCGAAAGGACCTTGTCTCGGCTCCTTCTGATGCGTCCAAGCGCCTCACACGACCAATGGTCATGCCTCGGGCTGCTATGATTTTGTTCCACAGGTGCCTCACTAACATGCCCTCTGAGCCCCCTGCCACCAGTGCCATGAACTCGCTCTCGCCCGATGAGAGGGCGGTAGCCTTCTGGCTCCTCACTTTGCTGTCGATGAGGTTGGAACACTTGCATGGAGGACGTCGACTTGTGTCTGTGACGATCTCCAGCAGATGCTCATCCGCATCCTCCACTTCATCAATGTCCCTGAAGTCCATCATGGATTGGCCCTTCCTTCGTTCTTCAAGCCTCACGCCATAGCCACCTGTCTCAAAGAGGCATGAATGCATTCTTCAAGGCGTGCTTTGTAGGCTTTGCCATGTGTCGGGCCAGGCACTGGATGTATTGCATCAGGCCGTTCTCCAGCCATGTACATGAGCCGCCCAACAATGCTCCTGTACTTTGTGATCTCACTCACTCCCGTCCAGGATCTCCGAGTCATCCTTCTTCGTGAAGTTGGCATCCAAGGAGTCTTTCTGTATAGAACTTGGAGTAGAGATCAATGTTCTTCTCGAAGCTGTCATACTGCTTTCGATCACACCTGCTGTCGCAGAGTCTCATGCCCGAGAACGTATTTCCTGTCTTAGATGTAGGCTGCAATCGACGTCTTGCAGGGACCAACCTCTCCTCAGCAGCTTTCCGGCACAGAGGATAGGGGGCGAAGTCCTCCAAGATCTCCACAGTCTTACCTCTCCTGTCCGTCATTCGAATCTTTGCTCTGGCCACTCCTTAGTGGGCGATCTTTCGCCCCTTGAGCGTCTATCACTTCAGCCCATCATCTCCTTCTCTTCGTTCTCCGACACTTGCATAGCTCTTCGGGAGTACAGAGATGTCTGCACCGCTCTCTAAAGTAATCAGGCATTTCTCTTCCAGTTCATCTATAGCCACATCCTCTGGCATATCCGCAGCCGGCTCATAGCACTCCTGGTACTCGGGCTTCCTCAACGTCGTAGAACTCGTCCATCTCGTAGGTCTCAACAGACACCATACCCACACGCCATGGGAAATTGTCACCTCGTTCCTCACGCATTGTTTTCAAATCAAAAACATCCAATGACGCGGCCTCAGGGCGTCTGCAATTCTCACCATCTTCACTGATGTTGCCAGTAGAAGGTGAGCTTGCTCCTCCAGGATTTGACTGCTCCTCGACCTGGTTGACTCTTTTCCAGCATTCTCGAGCGAAATGGCCCGTCTTGCCCGCGCATGGCAAGCGCCGCTCTTTGCTCCTTTGCTGCCCTTCTCACTTGTCTTTCCTTTCTTCCCAGAAGCTCTTCCCTTTGTCAGCCCCTTTCCAGGAGCCTTTGCCATCTTTGGTGCACTTGCCCTTCTCCTTGCCTTTGTCCTTTCCTTTGGCAACCTTGCCTTTTGCTTTCGAGCCTTTCTTGCCCTTGCCAACCTTCCCAACATAGTCCACCTCCATCGGGGTTGCCTCATCACCAGTTGTTCTAGTGGGAAGCATCAGGGACAGGGAGTCGGCAGAATCCTCCTTGAGCTGCTCACAATAGATGAAGATGTTGGCGAATGTGCAATGGGCAGGCAGGCCAACAGTACAGCTGCAACCTTTGCATCATCTGAGTAGGATATGCGCTCGTACTCCAAGACCGGCCTCGAACTGCGGAAGCGGTTCTGACACTGTCTTTCCCTCCGCAAATTGAACGCGGGACAGTTGGCTAAGCAAAGCCAGCGCGCTGGCCCTTGTGGCCGGTTGCATTTCTTTCAACTATGTCTGCCGTTCTCGATCTTGACATGGCGGATCAACTTCAATGGGCATTGCCTCAAATACGAAGTTAACAGACTGTATAGTCTCACAGCTTTTGCCTTCGTTTCATCCGTCATGTCCTCAAGGCTGTAGTTCGAGTCCACGTTGCTCTCGACCATGTCCATGCTGGCCGCCATCGAAGGGTCAAGTCCCTTCACATAGCTCAGGAAACAAAATTTCCAGTCTCCCCACAACTTCAATTCTGCATCTCGTCCTTCTGGCTTGCAGACATCAGGCGTCTTCAGATGCCTTGCCCAACCTTGTGAAGCTTGATTCAGCGCCAGCCTCTCCAGGGCAGTTGCCACTCGTCGTAGGCTTTCCTCAGCCGTCGACCTCAACCCAATGACGTTGGGGATGTAAGTCTTCGTCTCCACAGGGGTATGGGGTACAGGCGCTCCAAATGCCAATCCAGCGTATGCTGGGATGTCCCAAAAGCGCCAGTTGTACACTAGCTCGCCCAACTTGTCCTCGTCGGTGTTGTCCCCCAGAAAGCTTCAATGCGCTTCACGAATCTCCACTTCGTTGGCACCACCACTATCACCTCCTTGAACTCAGACTGGTCCTGTCTTGTTGTCACCAGGACGGAAGCTCTCACGGCCTTCTCACTCTTTATCCACTTGATCTTGCTCAGGTGCTCCTCAGTCTCTACCACCAATGTATGGATCCTCCTCACTCGCGACTTGCCTGTCTTGGGCGAGATGGAGTTGGCCTGGTAGTACTGCACTTCCTCGCTTGTCGCTGCTCCAATCCCACCTGCAAGTCCTGCTAGTAGAAGTAATTCCAAGAGCCAGATCGATGTGAAGGAAGGTCCACCCCTGGATCGTGTAGCTCTCGATGTCCACGTCCTAGTGGAGAGTGCCGTAGAGCTCGTGCTCGTCGTGGTGCTCGTAGTGCCACGTGGGTAACGGAGCCCCGGTGCTTTACGACCAGGGCTCCGCTACCGTGAAAAGGTGCGGGCTCGTTTTCAGCGAAATCAGCTTGGGCCTATTTGGCCATCGGTCGATCGAAATGATCACCTGTGTTTGGTTGACTGTTCCTAAGTTGACGTACTTTCTGTCATCTTGGATAAAATCCCAGAGGAACTCCGACTTCCCGAAGTTCCAGCCGTTTCGTTTCCAGGAGCATCGGTCTGTTCAGGAAGTGGAAGTGTCATGAAGTATCCAAATATCCTATGGCTGGTCTGCAGGGTAACACCGATGCTGATTGGTGAGAACATTGCCGTCAAAAACTACCCGTTACTAGTACCAACCCACTCTCCCCATGCAGCCAACAAACTAGAGGGAAGACTGCGCAAAATTTGCTTCTGGGTGCCCGGCCTCCCTCAAATTTGCACAGAATGGCCACGCTAACCCAAACGTCGATTTTCTGTACGTTGACTCATGGGACCAACTGATGTCATTTTCTTCATTACTCGACAGATTCGCTGTGCTTCGCCTTCCCCTTGGCGCGTTCAATGGAGTTATCGCCATCGCTCGACCATTCACGGTCTCATCAAGGCAAACTACATCACAATACTAGAATAGCGGTTAGTGAAATTCTGTTGACCACGAAGCGTTGTCCCTGAATCACATGGGCCCATTGAGACGTTATGCTTGGTGGTGAAGTTGTGAAGTTGCTGTCTTCAAGGTCAACGGGCCCAAAACAGACCCAAAAGCTATAGTGTTATCGCTTGATAGTACCAAAGGATGTCTATACAGCTGCTTTAGGAGCCTGATGGTGGCAAATAGCATCGGGAGTCGATGTGTCAAAAGCCAGCAAAACTGACTTTAAGTGACAAGTGGACACCTGCGGATCATCTCAGTACAGCCCACTACCTGCCCAAGCCTGCAACAACAAAAGGATCTAATTTTGCGTTTAACTCAAGATGTCTGTACAAGGTTGAATCCCTTGTCTCTGCTCGCATTTGAAGAGCCCTGGACAAGGCCTTCTTGAGATCCTTCGCCAAGTCGACAGTCAGGGTGGGGCCTGAGACAAATCTGAACTGGAAGGGAGATCAACATAATTGGATTATATTTGGATTCTTAGAAGGGGCAAACAATCCTTGGGAAAACCAAAAAATCAAACTAAGACACGAAGGAAGCAAAAATTGACGTCCAAGCGATAGCACATCTCGAGATATCGCACCTATGACCTTTATACCACTCTACTAGCCTCGGTCTTCTGGGCAGGGAAACCAAGCATTGCCAAGTAGCTCCCTTCCAAGTCCTCTGGAGACCGCCGTTCCTCCGACCGGTGCTCCAAGGCCTCTGTAAGGGCAGAAACGCTTGCATATAGAATTTATGTAAGTCTATTATAGTATATTTTGTCTGA